AACCACAATACCGATAAGTGATTAATAAAAGTCAAAAGACCAAAGAGGTCACCTTAATACCAAAAAAAAAAAATAATTTTTTAATTTTCTTGTATAATTTTGTAAAATATAGAATTTGATTAATTATAATTTATTAGCAACAATTAAAAAATGTTTAGCAGGTATGATATCAAAACACATTCCGATATAAGCAATAAAGTACAAGAAGCAAGACTTCTACTTGCTAGTTCAAGTAAACCAGAAATAAAGTTTAATTATGAAGATTTAGAGGCCATCTGCAAAAAGCTACAAAATAATATAACTGAAGAGCCCAAAAAAGAGCTTGGTAAAACTGCCACCAACGCTATTTTAAACGGTTTGTTATAAAAAAAATAAATGAACTTAAAAATAATTAACAAACATAATTTAATTAAATGCGTTTAAAAAAAATTTATAAAGCCATTAATACCCAAGATCGTATCCGAATATATCTGATCTTACCAATAAAAAATCCTAACTATTGCACTATGATAGTAGATCATTTGGCGTGAAACACCCCAATCTTGGATCGTTTTTCAATGATTGTATACTGAAATTATGCGGCTTGCATTTTAGATTTCGGCTTTCGCTCCAGATTGCGGCCTAAATTATGGATTGTGGCACTATTTCTACCCAATAATTAGTGCCTAAATATTTTTGACACTGCCGCAACTAGTTCTGATTGGCTAATAAATTCAATTTAATTTTACATTATTTATAAAGTTTAGAGTACTTTTTTAAAAACAAAAACTAGTCATAATGAAATAATAAACTGTATAGAAGGTTAATTAAATTACTAAGCTAATTTTTTTAAACGGACAAGAAACCTTCTATGCAGCTCATTATGATTAGTTTTCGTTGTTTAAAAAAGTACTCCAAATTGTAAAATTTAATTGAATTTATTAGCCAATCAGACGAACTTTTACTGTATAGTTCAGCCATATATGATCCGAGTTTTTCTAAAATTACCGCAAAATGCTGTAATTCTTACGTTCCTATTAACGCTAACCGTTTAAAATGACTTTAATCCTTATTTGGTGATTTCACCAATTCCATAACAAATGAATGACGTATGTTTGTCGATCCGCGCGATACATAGCCTCTTCGACATAATTTTGTTAGGGCAGATAGCCAATATTGTCTCTCATCTAGGAGGTGTTGTGGCGAGACACTAAACTACATAAAAAAATGAAACACATTTACGGGTATTCTGT